CTTTACAGAAGAGAGAAGGAACCTGACATTTAATTATTGAAGAAAGTTTGGGAGGCTTTTTTTCTTTTCTAGGGGTTACTGACCTGACATTGTAGCGTCTCATTGGTTGAATTGAAAGAAAGCAGATTAGCAGAAACCAACAAAGGACTACTACAAAGGGGGGGGGGGGATTTTCAGTTACGTTTTCACTTGGTTTTTTGCTGTGTTGTGGTTTGTTAAACTGTGCTATCAAAATGGACTGTTGAATTCAAAATGAGAAAACAGATTACACCATCGAAGAAAAGAAAATGGTATGCTGAGTGTTTCAAAGAGGAATTTAAAGATTGGCTACAACAGGACAGTAACGATAAGGACTCAAGTTACTGTAAATGTTGTTAAGTGACATTGAAAAATGCAAATAAATCCATGCTAACAAAGCATACAGATTCTGTGAAACATGTAGGCCCTAAGAAATTTTGAGTCTGCTAAAGAAAGTGTAAATATAAATATAACTCGATTTAAAAAAAAGAAAAAGAAACATCCACAGAAAGTGAACAGATAGCAAAGAGTGAGGTTATGTTTGCTGCGTATTTCGCTGAGCACAATGATCCATTCACTAATATTGGCCATCTCCTAAGCGTCTGCAAAGTGGCTTTCCTGACAGCAAAATTGCTGAAAAGTTATCCATGAAAAGAACGAAACTGTCTTATGTCATTCCAGATGGGTTTTCGTCAGCCCCATCTGGGTTTTTTTACAAAAATCTCATTGGCAGCCCTGCTGGTGACCCGGGGAATCAGGAGAAAGTGCCAGGGTCAGCAGCGTACTTAAGAGGTAAACGAACAAAATCAATTATATTTTGTTTCCTGCCAGGTTTATAAACAATGTAATGTAGCTTTTATGTCTGTTTAATGTCATCTAACGTACCAACTTAACATTGATTATATAACACGGTAGATTAGTGTTCTTTTTATTATTATTATATTGTGGTCAGACTTAGACTTACTACTACTACTTGAACTACTTGGTTAAAATAATTGCAAATGGTTGCAGGTTATTTTCTAGTAATTTCCTTGGGACTTTATCGACTATTAATTGTAGTTGATATGTTGAAAGTGGTTGTGTGCTGTGATAACTGGTTGTTTTTTTACTATTAATGTCTAGCCATATATAGTGTTATGATAAACCACTGTATATTATGTCAGACATTATGTGATTTCACACTCAACTGTTTTGTTGCCTCTTCTTCAGTAACGAAATAGAAACTCAAACGTGGCATCGTTTAGAGGAGCCCAACATGAACAAGCAGCACTGAACTGAAACAGTACTGAACTGATACTTGATAGTGTTAGATACAAGTATTCTGACCTTTTACTTTTAGCAATTTGTTAGCACAACAGACTAAAGATAACCTTGTTTTTTTTTAGCAAGTAGTAATAGTAGTATGGTTAACAGGCGTAGTAAGTGCCAGTAGTAGTAGTAGGTCATAGAAGATAGCTTACTTTAGGTTTTGTTTTGTGTGTTTAATTAACCTCCTTTACTTTAGTTTTACTAAAACTAGTAAAACTGTGCTAAAACCTTTACCATTCACAACATGAACAGTTTCCAATGACGACATGGTTATGCGGTTATGATTATGTTAATAATTTAACAAACACCAAATTTAAGGTAAACAGACCATATAACATTCAGCTGCAGCACATATTATGCATCAAAGTGACCAGGGATTGTTGAGAAATAATATTAGAAATAAATTTGGTTAGTAGTTAAATATTAATTAGTCAATGAACAGATTGTATGTTTAGAGAAATTTGTAAAAAGAAATTATAATTTTTCCTCTTATCACCTTAGGACTCAAGGAAAACTTGATAAAATATATCCAGAGTGAATCACAGATGAACATGAACCACTTAGTAATGTACAAATAAATTATAAACACAATCTGTCCATTAGATCTCGTTCCAGAAAAACGTTTAGAACATGATAACAGAGCACCATTTTTTTTAAAGAAAAAAACTTCCGAAAACAATTAGTATTTTCACCCCCCCCCCCCCCTTTTCCTCCGCCCAAAAAAAAACGAATTTTATATAACACTCAGTTTGCTGTAATTTTATAGCCTATGTTCCCAAATAATAAAGGAATTGCACTGTATCTAACTGACACTGAAGAATATTTCCTTTTTCACTAATATTCTCCTTGTACCAGCTGACTTTGTTAACGTTTTAGGCCTTGCGTGAGGTTATATAAGAACGTTATCCCTCATCAAAGTTTGACCCTATATAGTACTTAAACAAGTTTAGTTAGTAACTTTCTTTGTCTAGCTTCGGATACATCTGATAAACACATGTTTTATTTAAATGTAATTATTCTTAACTCATAAATGTTGTTGTCATGCATGAGGAAGTCTGCTATGAGGCCATAGTGTTTTCACACAAATACTTAGTTACTCTGTAAAGCTATCAAACATGCTACATTTAATGCCTTTGACTTGACTATATTTTGGAATAAGCCTAATGTGTGTGTGAAATTGAAACACAAAGAACAGGAAATAACATTCAAAACTGCCGGTTTGCGTTATTTTGCTGGGCAGTGTTAAACAAAAAAACAAGTACGCTTCATGCGCCAATTGGCCGCCTGGGTAGTGACCAGTTAGCGCTGTGTTTAGGAATATTACATGTTGGGGCCTCAATCTCTTCTGCAGTATGACCCCTTGCCCTTGTTTGAAAGCCATATTCTCCAAGTGGATGATTCCAGGGTCACACTGGAGGAATAGATCCCCACCCTTAGTAAGCATGTCCTAAGATAATAAGAGGCAACTAATTATGGATGGGTGTTTCCTTCAAAGTTGGAATGCATCTGCCTGAAAGGCAAGGCACCAATGGTCTGCATACAAAAAAGCTAGGATCTTTAAAGTGAATGTGCAGGCGCACAATTTCTGGAACAAAACTAAAGACCAGAAGTTGACCAACAACTGAAACTTTCTGCCAGTGTTTTACAGGTAGTAAAGGTTGAGAAGAAAAAGACGAAAGCTATAACAACTGTCCTTTTTTTTTTTTAAACCATCTGCCACTGAATTTGAACCCTGATCAGTTGAGGGTTGTGAAATGCATTCACAGACCTCTAAGCCACATAGACACATAATTATTGTAGGAAATATTGTTTTGCCAGTGCACGAGTGTGCATGAGTGCACATGCGTGTGTTTGACTCTCTCTCTCTCTGTCTATCTGTCTTCTCTCTGTGCCTGCCTGTGTGTGTTTTAAGAGAGAGAGAGAGAGAATTCATTTATAGAACAAAAAATAGTGTAAAGAAAAAATGTAAAACAAGAAGCTAATAAGGAACTAAGAAAGCACTTACCTGAGGTTACCAGGTATTACTAGTAATTTCTACATTTAAGGGGATTTTTATAAATTGATATTGGCTCCTAGGTCATATCAGCCTCAAAAGGATACTGTGTAATGTCTGGGGAAGTAAAGATGGCTGTTATGATGTTGAACCCATTACCCTTTGTGCGTCATTTGGTCTATAAACATTTGGGTCTATCACCATATGACCGCCGGACCGCCAGCATGAGTGTATGTAATTGCAGTGACACAGATTAATAGCCGAGTGAAATATTCAAAAAGCTTTATGCTAGTCTTTGCATGGACAAATCTCATATGGTATGGCGTGGTACGTACTGTATTTTTCCTTCTATGTTGAAGGTATGTTGTCCCATATTTTTTAAAGTTTAAAATGGGTAAAAGGCGGGTGGGGGTGGCTCCATCTTTTAAATGTGTGTTTACAATATTTATTTTAAGAATTTTGTTATCCCAAAATAAATATTGTAAACACACATTTAAAAGATGGAGCCACCCCCATCCGCCTTTTACCCATTTTAAACACATCATAAAAAATATTACACGTCATGTTCTTTCTCTCTTCAAACCCTAATGGGATGCAAAGATGCTAATCTACCCATGGTGATGCACCATGACCAGGACTCACACTGGTCAAGATTTATCTACACCTCTCTGTGGTATTCCTAGAAACAGGTTGCACACCAGGAGCCTGGTCAGTGTAGATAGGATTGACACTTCCTTCAAAGTCAGAGTGCATCTGCCTGAGAGGCAAAGAGCCCAACAGTCTTTGAGTAAATAAGCCGGATCTATAAATTAATTTTTCACGCAGCACTCAGGTCCTGGAATAAGGCCAGAGTTCAGAGATGGATGAACAACTGGGATTTTCTGATGGAAAAGAAGTAGAAGATAACCTTAACATAACTGTTTAAAGGAATAAGAGAGAACAAAAATAGTGCATAGTGTATGTCCCTCCCCCTCCTAAACATAAAACAATGCCAACCAGCACACCGAAACATCTCATACAAAGTATATTTATCTTTAACCTTTGCTGGTCACTCACAACAGTTCAGAAAGTAAAATTAGTACTATGGAAATTAGATGTCTGTAGAAGACTCTGGGAGTGTCAAGAAAAGAAATTAAATCAGGAATTAATTGGAATAGAAGCAAAATTGAATTATATACAAAGCAAATAATATGGTTTGTCAACTTAGAGAGATTGCCTTGTACCCTACCACACAAAGCATATATATATATATATTTAAAAGAAGTCTTCATTTGACACTGGTTCATGCCACACCATGTGTAATTGTGCGCCATTTTCTCAACTGTCAGAAACAAACTGTGCATCAGGGAATGATAAGTGTTTGCTCTTTTATTCATTGGTCAGTACTTACCACCTAATTATGACATTATCATGTTCAGTGCACACAATTGCACGTGCTACGGCACAAACAGGTTTCAGATGAGCTCCCCATATATATATATATATAGTTTTATGCATGGAAGGATGCTGTTACACTGATTTGTAAAGTATTTTACCTCTGTAATAAATACACTATTTTTTCTACTGTTTAATGTCTTTCTTTTCGGCTCTTGTTTTATTAATTTTGTTTTGTTATTATTCTCAGAGCTTGCCCTGTTGTGGCTAGACTGACCAGGGAATCATTTGTTGTACAGTTATCAACATGTCCTCAAAAGATATAAAAGACAGAGTGTTAGAAATTGAGCAGGCAATTAAACACTTGGACACTCTGAAGAAAGAACTTAGAAAAGATGCATCAGATGTAAGTGTGCTATAGATTCAACTTGTTGTATCTTCAGTACCTCACTATCATAAGTAGCCTTGCTGATGGATAACTGATCCTGATTCTCTGCATGATGCGATCTTCAACAACATATATTAGTTTATTCTTCTTCACATTAACCGTTTGTAAACTCCAGCGGAAAGTTCTGGTTGTTCATCCCCTTCTTGTCTTTAGTCTTGTTCCAGAACTTTAGTTTTGCATGCACATCCATTTTACAGATCTGGCTTATTTTTATGCAGACTGTTGGTTATTTTCCTCTTAGATTGATGCACTCCAACTTTGAAAAAAAACCCACCTAATTTGTCGACTTTTACGACATGCTTGCTAGGGGGGCCCTGGGTCTATTCCCCGCCCCCTTACATTGGGCCCCCAGAACCCACACAGGGAGTATCAGTTTGTGTGCTGCCACCTTTCCATACCATGACAAAAGGCTTTCAGGAATCTTCTTCATTGACTTATTCTTGATGTCCATTAATATTTTGTCTTCACATGTTCAGCTTTTTATCTTATCACAACGATGCCAAAACATGGCAACTGCCTCTTTCTCTTATCTATTATCTTCATGTCTAATGCTGTTCCTAACCATTTTAACATTAGGAGGTTGCGTGGTCTTGAGGCATGGTGTCCATATCGAGTGCTAGAGGTTCCAGGTTCAATCCCCGGTAAGGGCTGGGATTTTTTCACTTGGACTTCTAGTGATTTTCCCTTGTCTTTGGGTAGTGAGATCAGACGCCAGTGTGCATTGTTGCACACGTAAAAAAAATCCCTTGGCAGTTGGAAATCGAAAAGAATAGCTTAGCAGCGCTGCGTGGGCAAAATTTAGAGTTTAAAATCTACCCAAAGTATTTCAGGATCCTCACCGGTGCTACAGAGCCTGTGCACTGTGCTGACCTTCTTCGGACTCAGACTTGAGTTAGAAGAAAGAACAGAGCACTTGTGGGCTACTTGCCTGTGTGCCATGATGCTGATCTGTTGATCAGAACCTCAGAAACCATTTTAACATTTTGACACTCAAAGGAATTTGAAGTCTACTTCCCAAGACTCACAGCAGTGTGTTTCAACTGGCTCTTGAATACTTCTACCATAAAAACAACTGCCATTACTACCTGTGTTTACCACTGTTGTGGTGAAGGCAGGGGAGTATTTGAGCCTAAGGATAGGTTGCCGCATGGCTTGCACTGTCGTCATGTACCTTGGATTTAAGGTATTTTAATTTTTGCCCTTGAATACTTCAACATGGCAAAAAATAACTTTTCAGTGTAGGACACACAGAGACATGTCCCTGCAACTTGGCACCCGAAAATGCTGAGCATGTGCTCCAACTGTGTCAACTGTCTGCTGACAAGAGAGATGCAATCTGGCCTGTTTCAACCACAATTAAAACAAAATTGTACGGTACACGAGAAGATATGGACTGCACGATAGCTTTCATAAAGGCTACCGGCCTCCTGATATAAGTTTTTTGACAGAAGAATTGAAGAAGAAGCAAAAGATAAGCACATCATACAGCCCTAATCTGAACTGACATTTGTATTGTTGGGTATTTTTCTTAAGTTGTCTTCCTTAAAAAAAAAAGTAGGTGTTGTATGAACTATTCAAACTGAGTTACATGACTCGCTAGTCCCCACAAACAACCACGGAATATTACACACAGTGTAACCACTTGCCTTCTTCTTCGCATTCACAGGCAGTCAACTCTGGCAGAAAGTTTGGGTCATTTGTCTATTTCTGAACTGTAGTCTTGTTTCATAATTTGAGTTTTGCCTGCACATTTGTTTTACAGATCTGGCTTGTTTGCATACCAACATTTAGTTCTGAGAATCCCAGGTAGATGCACTCAGACTTTGAAGAAAACACCCCCCCCCCCCGGTTATTTGACTTTTGCAACATGCATTTGGGGGAGGGGAAGGGGTCTGTTCCCCCTTCTCCACACCCACCCATCCACAATATGATCCTGAACCCTCACAGTTTCTGGAGGGCAGGAAAAGCATCTAGTAAGAAATCATTAAGAAAATGGGACCACTGCAGGTCATAACTCCAGTGAGATAAATGGAGGAAGAAAAAGACTAAACCATAGTGGCTAGTGAGCTTGCCTGCTGCGACAGTGGTCTAGGTTGAATCCCCATCAGTAAAGTAAAGGACTTTTTTACGCCGCAGGCATGTGATGTTAAACTCCTATTTATTTTAGGCTAATCAGCACTTGATGGGTGATAGGGTCAGCAACACACAGACTGCCTTTACTTCCTAAGACATTGCCTGGTACTCACTTTAGGCTTGATTGACCTGGGAACCAGAGTCAGTTTTAAAAACAATCCAACTTGATGTGGATTTGAACCTTAGTCTTTTGAACTGGCATACAAGCATTTAATCACTATACTACTGTGGCCGCCAGCTCCCAGCAGAGACAGGATCACCAGTTCTTACCCTAGGCTAAACTTAGTTCCATTAAAAACATTTGTTCTGTGTAAATTGTTTTTAATATAATTTCTGGAAATTGACAAAAGGAACAGTAATGTAGAAATGAACAGGCCACTCCACCTCATGATGTCATTGGCTAGATTATATGAAGTTTTAATTCTTCAGACCTCAATGGCAGGCACTTTGTGCCAAAAGGCTAACTATGCCTAAGCTGTTCCTTTAATTCTGGACAAATGAAACAATATCAGCCCAAAGGTTTTGCATTCAAATTCATATAGATTTTGTTGTCTTCAGATATAAGCCTTGGTCCACCTAAAGTGGGTGCCTTGGAAGTAAATGCAGCTGACATGATGATTTTGACCATATAACCAACTGAGTGCCGTTAGATTAATAAAAATATGAATCTAGTATCATATGCGCATTATACAATAGCTTTCATAAAGGCTACTGGCCTCCTGATATAGGTTTTCTGACAGAAGGATCGAAGAAGAAGAAGAGGAAGATATGCACTGTGCGCTACTAGTGTAAAGGAGAATTTAAAAAATACTTTTACGTGAAACAGGTATACGTTTCAATTGTTGAAAACTCATGTTTGTGTTTCATGCATTTCCTCAGATTAAAACAAAGATGCATGCCAGAATGAGCCATATGGCTGGTCTGCTCGGCCAAGTTGATCAGACCCTGGAGACGATGGAGGAGGCCCTTCAGATTCATATTGTGAGGCTGAATCGAGCACTGGGTGTTCTTCAGACTGGGCTACCTGTGAGCCTAGATGGAACATCGGAAAAAGAGTTGACGGATGCATTAGAAATGTGAGTGCCGCATTGTTAGATAATAGCTGTGGTGATCTAGACGTAGAGATTTTATTGTGCTTTATTATAAAAGTTTTATATTAATATCAAAGAAGTGCATGTATTAGGTTTTTTTTTTTGTCTATTGCTACAGTTTTATAAATTAAAGTCTGTACCAGAAGATTTACAGCAGCCTGTAGATTTTGAATCATACAAGGTTAACCCTTTTATCCTGAGAATGCCACACAAAAAGGGGGGGGGAAGGTGGAAGGGGTTCACCCAAAGGAATTTCCAACTAAAATATATATTACACAGGTCACTAATAAATTCTGTAAAAATGTATTTAGCTACATTTTAAATTGTTTCCTAAATATATAAAAGTACGTAAAGGGGTAATCATTAAACATGAACAGGGTGAGTCACTAAATGGAATACATTCCTCAGGGATTTAAAAAAAAAAGTCAGTCAGGTGACTCATGCAGTGAGGCTTACAGAAAAATTTGACACAAACTCTGCTTTCAGAAAGCCACTGGGGTCCTAAGGAAACCACCCTAACTGCTAGTTTAGTTGCTATATTCATATCCTGGCCTATTAACCACCGCACAGGAGCACATAGTACCAAGGAGATTTAACTATGCTTTTAGAGAACTGGTCACTGCAATGTGGCCAGGTACTGGTCTTTACGGAACTGTCAGAACTGGAAGTGACTAGATTTAGCCTTCTCCGGGCAATAGGGTCATTGATACAGCAGCTAAAACAAAGTTAAAATAAAAAGGACCTGTTTCCATACCTTGAAGTGTCTTTGAGTGTTTGTTATTAGCTCATTTAGTTGAAGACCTATTGGCATGTGAAGGGTGTTTGTTGTTAACTCATTTAGTTGAAGACCTATTGGCATGTGAAGGGTGTTTGTTATTAGCTCATTTAGTTGAAGACCTATTGGTATGTGAAGGGTTATGTGTTAGTTTTTAAAGATCTTCTCTGATAGTGATTAAATTACATGACATAGTGATTAAATTACATGATCATTGGGCAGGCAGGCAGGCAAGTACTCTAGCCACTACACCTTGGACGCTGGAACCTGGTGGGTCAGTCATCTTGATACCCCCTCCCCTGAAACTGTGTGGAAGTTATTTTTGTTTGTTTAGTGTTTGTTTATTCATTTCATATTATTTCAAATATTATATTTATTTGCCATTCAACATGTAATATTAATAATAATTTATGTGATTTTTATGCACTTTAATCAGGCTTAGGCCCTAGAGAATCCCCTCCCCTAAGAAAATTTGAACCCCCCCCCCCCTTCCATTTTTCTTTGTGTTGGCGCCCTTGTGCCTCATTGTCCTGGAATGGAAGGGATTAAATTAGTAGCAACTTCAACCCTTCTTCTAAATTGAAGACTGCATTAGTCCTCAATTACTCATGCCTAAACCTTCCTGCCCTTAGCTGTCTGTTCAATATTTTTCAGTACTGCTTATCTTGAGGAGGGGCTGGCCGAATGGCTAGAACGCTGGGCTCTCAAGCAGGAGACCCGGGTTCGTACCCTCGATAAGGCTGGGGATTTTTTTAATGTCAGGGGGAAAAATAAAATCCTCACCTGCACAGTCGTGGTGACAGCACTAGCCATACGGCCGTAAATCCTCAGGTCCAAAGACCCCTACACCGCAAAAGTGGTATAATAAACGCAGTAATAGGCCGGTGAATTTTTTTTTTTTGACTGCTTATCTTTGACTTTCGTAATCCGCATTCTTCTCCTTCTTCACTTTCATCAGCTGTAAACTCCGGCAGAAATTTTTGGTTGTTCATCCACCTCTGGACTTAAGTCTTGTTCCAGAATCTATGTGTTGCATGTGCATCAGTTTTTCAGACTGGCTTATTTGTGTGCAGTCTGTTGCTTCTCAGGCAGATGCACTCTGACTTGGAAGGAAGCTCCCGAGTTAGTTGACTTTTTGTGACATGCTTCTTGGCAGACAGTGGGTCTGTTTTTGTTTTCCCTACAATGGGACCCTGGAACCCACATGGGAAAATTTGTTGTATTTTTTCCTCTAAAGATATGTATTAAACATACCTTCATGGTCTCACTGGAGGTAGGGAAAATCCTAATGTCACCTCCCAGTGAAATTTATCATGTAATCATATGCTTTTTTTTCCCTCCAAACAATTAATTTCATTTTTAAATTTGATCTTTTAGGCTGAATAAAATTCAGTTGATTTCTGATGAATCCGCTGACAGTTTTTCTAAAACTGGTGACTTCACCCTGGGAGAATCTGCCCACAATTACAGCACAGATAATGTAAGTTATCTTCCTCTTTTTAAATCCATGGAAGTCCAGCATAAAAGATCAGCATTCATGTCACGTCATTTGGATGGAAATAAAGATGTAAAACGTCAGAATCAGTCACTGGATGCGGTCAAGAAGGTTCATCCAGCTACTTCTAATGTAAGTACTTTACAAGTTGCTATTGCTCTGTAAAAATGTTAGTTGTTATCACGTATTTATTGGAGATAGTCGTGAACCTGCACTTGCTCTGGTAAATTTATTGTTTGTTACTTATTTATTGGAGATAGTCGTAAACTTGCAAAACTTTCATTGGTAAATAAAAAATTTTGTCAGGTAATTATTGGAGAGAGTTGTGTACCTGCAAAAATCGCATTGGTAAATTTGGTTTTTGTCAATTATTTATTAGAGATAGTCGTGAACCTGCACTTGCTTTTAAATTTATTGTTTGTTACTAATTTATTGGATATAGTCATAAACCTGCAAAAATTGCATTGGTAAATTAAATTTTTGTCAGTATTTTATTGGAGATAGTCGTTTACCTACAAAAATCACATCGGTAAATTTAGTTTTTACCACATACAGTGGAACCTCGCTTAACGAGCATAATTCGTTCCTGAATCATACTCGTTAAGCGAAGCACTCGTTATGCGAAACAATTTTTCTTATATAAATTAATGTAAAAACGATAATGCGTTCCATTTCGAGAAAATTATCACAAAATGCTATGTATAACGTTTATTCACATAAAATTATATGCATATTGTTAGGGAGAGTGAATCATCTTTATTTTTTATTCCACCGCGGAACGAACATCCGTGGAATGCGAATTCGATTTGCAGACAACAAGACAAAAAAAAATGATGCATAGCTAATTAATTTTTACTAAAAAGATGTCCAGAGACATTTGTTTTTGCCGACGCTTAAAAATTTGGCGAAAATGCAACACAGCATTATCATTTAATAAATTTGCAGCATGCATAGCCACTTCCTTATTAGGGTGATGCTTCTCAGTGTAAGATGCAACAGTTTCCTATGTTTTCAGCATTTCTCTTATGTCGCCAGAAGATTGTTGCTTTTCTGTTACCTCCTCCTCCCCTGACAAACTTCCCTCCAAAACTTCTTGCTGTGAAACACAATGTAACTCCACAAGCTCTTCGGTGGTCAGCTCTTGGCTGTGCTCTTCCATCTCTTTGATATCACTGTTATCAACCTCTAATCCCATGATAGTGGCCAAAGGCACCATCTCGTTGACTACAGGTTCCACAGGTACTGTCTCAAACCCTTCAAAGTCACATTCGACAACGCTCTCCGGCCAAAGCTTCTTCCAAGCAGAAGTTATGGTTCTCTTGGTAACCCCTTCCCCCGCCTTGTCGTTCATCTTTAGGCAGGCAACGATGTGGAAGTAATTTTTCCAAAATTCTTTGAGAGTGAGGTTGGTCCCTTAAATTGAAAACAATGCTCGAAGAGTGCTTTAGTGTAGAGCTTCTTAAAGTTAGAAATAACTTGCTGGTCCATGGGCTGGAGTAACGGAGTGGTGCCAGGAGGCAGAAACTGGATATTGATGAACTTAAATTATTCAGGGGGGTCATCTTGTAGGCCTGGAGGATTCATGTACATATATCACAATAAAACACGAATTTGAGAAAACGTGTGATCACAAGGGTCACTACGATGCTACTGGAACATGTGCTAAACACAGACTGATGTAACATGCACACAATTCGGGACTCCCCCTCTCCTCGCCACTCGTTATGCGAAACGTCGCTCGTTATGCGTCATTTTTTTAACAATTTGTTTTGTTCGTTATGCGAATTACTCGTTATGAGAGGTGCTCGTTAAGCGAGGTTCTACTGTATTTGTAAGAGGCAGTCATGAACCAGCACTTGCTCTGGTAAAACAGGCATTTGCTTTTGTGAGTAAATATTTTGGTTACTTTTGCTTCATTTTATTCCATTGTTACTATAGTTAGTACCTAACAGGTTACAGTCAACCATGCCAAGCAGTACATTGCACAACCTATTGTTTGTGTCTTTGTTCAGTTTTACAACAGGAAAACATTGCTTTCACTTATTTGTTAGTGACTAGAAGTTATTGTTTGATGTCAGTTCTTGATTCAACTCAACTCAGTTATTGTTTCATGTCAGTTCTTGATTCAACTCAACTCAACTCAGTTATTGTCTGATGTCAGTTCTTGATTCAACTCAACTCAACTCAGTTATTTTTTGATGTCACTTCTTGATTCAACTCAACTCAGTTATTGTCTGATGTCAGTTCTTGATTCAGCTCAACTCAGCTCAGTTATTGTTTGATGTCAGTTCTTGATTAAACTCAACTCAACTCAGTTATTGTCTGATGTCAGTTCTTGATTCAACTCAACTCAGCTCAGTTATTGTTTGATGTCAGTTCTTGATTCAACTCAACTCAGTTATTGTTTGATGTCAGTTCTTGATTCAACTCAACTCAGTTATTGTTTGAAAACATATCTCATATTTCCTGAAAGAAAAAATAGCAAGTGTAAAGGTTATCATCCTGCCAGCTGCCTTTACTTCCTATAATTAAGCCAGGAATGCATTAAGGGTTCATGGAAGAAAGTTTTCAAAAAGGAGAAGACGGTTAACATATACTTAGGTTGACCATAATGTTTTGAGCAGAAAATGAGACCACCCACTATTATTTTGAGCAGAAAATGGGACATCCCACTAATATTTTGAGCTGAAAATGGTACATCCTCTTAAATTTTGAGCTGAAAATCTTCTTCTTCTTCGCGTTCTGTTTCGTATGCTCAGATCAGACCATCAGGTGGGTTGCCTCTGTGAACTTGCATGCCAGCTGCAGGTCCTGCATGGTTCTCCATAGCTTGCTATGCACACTTTGCTCTTGAGGCCAGGTGTCTTTTCGAAGTTGCAGGTTGAGTGGGCAGGTCTGCAGAATGTGCTTAGATGTTTGGGGTCCTGTTTGACAGGTACACTGTGGGGACTGTACAATCTTTATTTTATGCATGTGGTAGTTGAGCCTGCAGTGTCCTGTTCGTAAACAGAAAATTGTTGTATGTTGCTTTTTGTTGAGTCTGCTGATGGAGTCTTGTGGATTTTTACTGTTAGTTTGTTCTCTCCACAATCCCTTGTATTTTCCTTTGATAAGTGTTCTGATAATGACAATGAATAGGCGTGCTGTTTCTCCTTTGTTTCATTTTTTGCAAGTCTGTCTGCTAACTATTTCCTGGTATGCCGCAGTGAGCTGGGATCCACTGGAGAACGATTTGATTGTTTTCTGTGAGTCTGTTTAGCTGACAGGTCAGTTCTCTTTCCATGTGAGTCGCCTGGAGGACTGACATGCAGTCACAAAGGAAAACAGTTTTGCTGTTTTTAATTTTTCTTTCCCCGAGCACATCTTTGCTGAATCAATAATTGCTTGCTGCTCTGCTCTGAAGTTTGTTGAGAGTCTTCTGGGGGCGCATGACGTTTCTGAGCTGAAAATGAGAGATACCACTGATATTTTGGGCAGAAAATGGGACAACCTACTAATATTTTGAGCAGAAAATGGGACATTCCACTATTTTGAGCAGAAAATGGGACACACCTCTAATATTTTACACAGAAAATGGGAAAACCCACTAACATTCTGAGCAGAAAATGGGACATACTTCTAAAATTTGGAGCTGAAAATGAGACATACCACTAAAATTTTGAGCAGAAAATAGGATATTCCATTAATATTTTGAGCTTGATAACAGGATATACCATTTTGAGCCTTATAACGGGAAATCCCACTTTGAGCTGATAACAGGACATCTTAGGCAAACCATTTTAACCTCTTGGTTCTGTGTGCACCTGCCTTCATTTAGAAGGCCCTGATATGATATATTAACTGCCAAATAATTGTCACTACTGTCTGTTTTACTACTTTTTTTTAGGGTGGTGTAGACAGGTGGCTTTGAGTCTGAGGATTTAGGGCTGCCTGGCTAGGGCTGTCACATTGGGCTGTGCAGGTTAAGATGTTTGATTTTGCCCTGTCAGAAAAACTCCATCATACTAGGGGTTGAACTTTGGTCTCCTGCATGAAAGCCCAATGTTGTAACTGCTCGGCCAGCGGCAACTCGATATATTAACTACAAATTGTATTTAGGAGAATTCCTTATAGATCGCCCCAATAGCTTATTAAAGCCTTGTTGACATCAAATCTTCCTGGCTTGAGTCACACGCAGATTGTTTAATCTGAATGCTTCAATTTATGTTTATTGATTACCCCCTTTTGTGTATCTCACACAAAAAGTTTTACAGAAATATAGATAAATAAATGTTAAACACATTTGTTAATGTCCTGTGTAATATTGTTTTTTTTTTTAAGGATTTTCCAGACATTCCCAAAGTTTTATGACCCATTTTAAATAGTGAGTTCCAAGATTATTTGTGAAAATATCCTTTTAGTCGTATATTTATCACACCAATAGTGCTAAAATATTAGCAGTGATATTATTGAAATTATATAAACATATTAAACGTATAATTTTAAATTTTCATAAATTATATAAAGTTGAAGACTATTATTCACCGGTTGACCCAACAGAGTCATTATCACAATTAAACATTCAGGTTTTTCTTTTCATATTATTGTAATTTATATTTTTTACTTTCATTTATGATATCTAGAATGATAAACGCATATTTTTCAATGTTTTGTGCATTTTCCAGGTCACTTTTGAAATGCCAGTTTTGTCAAACTGTGTTGAGGACTGGCTGCAGAAGGTCCCTGCTTCAAACACGGCATTTAAAGATACCAGTATCTTTGCTAAATGGCGTCCTGCTCCTTATCCAAATCTGTCGATGAAGCCTGCTGGAAGACTTTCTCAGGCTGTACCAAGTGCTTGCACTCCAGGTATGAGATGGTGCCAGAATGTTTGTAGCAGAAAGTTGGATCACAAAAGCAAAAGAACAAACTTTAAAAAAAGAAAAAAGTAGCCTTTCTGTCATTTCAGACAATAATGTTCTATAAAGTGTGAGTAAAAGTGTGAAGTGATAGGGCTTCATACATATTTGGTCATACATAAGTGGATAAACAGACTCCTTTGTTACAGACTCCTTTGTTAGAGGTTAATTAAGGGGTTCTGTCTGCTTAGAGGTTAGTGGATGCATTTAAACATAGAGGTTAATTAAGGTGTTCTGTCTGTAGCTTAGAGGTTAGTAAATGCATTTAAACATTTCATGGTCCTTAAGTACTAGGGTTTTGGGACCCTATTGTGGGGAAAACAAGAATGCACCTACTGCCTCCGCAACAAGCATGTCGTAGGAGTCGACTAACTGGGGGGGTCCTTCGAAGTCCGAGTGCATCTGCCCTAGCAGCAAGGAACAACCAGCTGCACACAAGTCAGCTGTAAAACATATGTATCTCTGATACTTAGCACACCTTGAACGTCTCATGGATTTGACCAAATTTTGGGGGGTTAAAATATGTAAAAGGCTGGTATTTCCCACCAACCCGCTGATCCCTGGTTGTTGGGTAAGTGTAACTTTCTTGGTCAAAAGGGACAAATTTGGAGGACCTATGTACACGCTGTGCATGTTAAAAATCCCTCAGCAGTTATAAATGAAAACAAAAAAAGAACAAGAAAAAGTACTTTTTTCCAACACCTTTGGGCATATTGGGCATGTATAACTGAACCTGTATTTTATAAACTAGTAGACACTTACTGGGTGATGTGGTCAGTATCATGCTGACCGCCTTTACTTCCCAGTACTTGATACCATTTAAGGTTGGGGATGCTTGTTGTGACTATTAAGTGTAGTCTGTGGAAGAAGACCAGGCTAAGATACCTGTGTGCTTTTTAAGTGATTCTTTCGGAGTGGTTTCCAGTCCCCACCCCCCACCCACACCCAATCAACTAATTAGGGGTGTTTCCTTCAGAGTTAAAGTGCATCTGTCTAAGAGGTAATGAACCAGCAGTCTGTATACAGGTAAGCCAAATCTGTAAAATGAATGTGCACACAAAACTGAGTTTTGGAAGAAGACCAAAGTCCAGAAGTGGACAAACAACCAGAACTTTCCTCCCGAATTTACTGCCGATAAACGCAAAGAAAAAAGTGTCTCTTTACAGACCAAACTGATCCTTGATATTACAAGATTTTTCTCAAATTTCCCTTTTTGTGGTTATAAAGACTGGCCAAATCATTGATGAAATAAAGAGAAATATGTGGATGTGGACAACAGTTGGTATCAGCAGTTACAAGATAAATAATATGGTGCATTATTGGACACATCCTGAAAAGCAAGAAAGCAGAGAAAAAGCAAACAGGCACTGATGTTGGAAGCAAGTGGATTGAGGAAGCAAGGATGCCCAAGAGAAACTCTAAGATGAATATTGTTGAGAGAGAGCAAAGTTGCTGTACTGGATTACATCTGTGATATTGAAAGGAATGTACAGGATAGAAGGGAATGGACAAGTAAACTACGAGCTCTAAGTGACAAAAATAGCACAACAGAAAGACAATATTTAATCAGTGGGGATATCAGTCCATGATGAATGATTGGGATAATTTAATTAATTTTATTTTTTATTTTTTCATCTTTTCTTCCTTATTTTTACACTGCAGCTGGGACTAGCTCATCGAAGGCAGGTGGGAAAGATCACGGAGATTATCCCCAGTCAGTCAGGAAGAATCTGAAAAGCTGGCTTAGCCATGGCAGTGGCAGCCCTTCCAGTTTCTCAGACTCTTTGTTCAAACATATTCCTACAGACAAAAAGGTCAGACTTGAATAGTGTTTGAGACTTCAGTGCAGAGAAGGAATACATTGTGTGTTACATACCTACATACTGTAAGAATCCTGAAATCCACCTCAATATTCGGTACTGTAAAAAAAAAGCATAGTTATCAGATGGTTCATTTGTATTGGTTGACGGGAATACCTATAGGCCTAGAACTATGAGTGTTCCTTTCAATAGCTTTGCGTTTCTTTTTTTCTTGAGCAGTAAAGCACTGTCAGATAACTGAGGTTTTTTTTGTTTTGTTTTGTTTAAAGTATAGAAAAGAAGAAGTGGAAGCTAAGGAAGACAGCGAAAACAATTCTGTTGATCTATTAACAACTGACATCACAGCATTCTTTACTGTCCTATCAGTGCATTGTCCCCATCTTCAGCAGCCAGGGAAGAGTTGCATTTCTGAGAAGCAGTCTGATTGTATGTCCTTATTGCCTTTCTTCTTAGTTTTGAGAATCGGTCAGATCTGGCGTTTATTCCCCACAGCTCATTATCTTCAGACTGTAATGATCTGTTCATGCTTCTGCAATGTTCATTTTTTCTGCCTACTTACATACACACCAGCCTACTTATCAGTCACTAGGTGTACATTTAAGTATATGGATGGTGGAACTTTGGTTACATCAAATCCATGTTTTTTTGTTTTTTTTTCAAATGTAACCTAAGGATTGTCTGTCCATCTTATTCATGTTTTCCTCTGACCCTGTACTAAAATTTTTTTATCTTGGTTGTTCTTTTAGTAGTTAGGTTTCATTCTCATAAGGTCTTCAGTCTTCAAAAGATGGGTGTTTGGAAGGACCGAATGTAAGACAATCTGTCCAGTTTGTGACCCTTTGAAAATAAAGTTTGTTCGTTCGTTCAGACCCTTTTATTTATCTCACATTGAATTTTAGGCATGATGGTATGTCTGTCATACTCCTGATCTTGCTTTATATTGTCTCAAAAGAATGCTTTCCCATAATGAATCTCAATGACAAGAACAAAAACAGTGTATTGCACAATTTATTGCCTAGCATATTTTGTTGCATCCCATCAGGTACTTTACTACAGACATTACTTGACTTTGAGAATTGTTTATTTAATGGTTTAATCTGTAGTCCATTTCATTGTCAGGGGGTCTCCGTGGTGAAGTGGTCAAGCCATTTGCCTCGCGCTCTGAAGGCCGTGAGCTCATTTCACGACTGCGCCATTCAGTTAATATCAGTGTTGAATGGTGAATTAAAAATCAGCATAATAGCATTCAGGACACTCTCACAAGCGCTCTATCCCCATCTTCAGCAGCAGGGGAAGAGTTCCAGTTCCAATGGTACCAGTAACTGATTGTACATCCCTCTTGCCTTTCCCTTGAGTGTTGAGCATCAGCCAGATCCCCTGGTAACTTCCTGCAGTGCCGTTCTTCTCAGACCATAATGATCTGTTTGTGCCTCTGCACTGTTCACTCACTCCCAGAGGGCCCTTAGCACATCTAACTTGTCATACAATTCACCACCAAGTGGTACAGAACCAGTCAGTCTATCTGCCTGCTTGTTTCCCAAAACACCGGCATCACCTGGAGAAAATATCATTGTCAAAAAAAAATGTTTCATGCCCCATGTATCTTTGACAGAAAGGATTAATTGTTTTAAGTCCTAAGCTGTTTAGTTCTGAAGCAGTAAAAAAAACTTAGCTGTCAGAAAATGTTGTGCTATTAGGAGAGAGACCAAGATAAAAATTGTAAATTTTGACCATTTTGGGTTTCCATAAATAGTACTTTTTCAAAGCACATAAGCAACTATCACATGTGACATTATCTTTGATGTTGACATTAAGTTTGTATATTATCACTGTCAGTTTTTAATCTGTTGATAAAATAATTCATACCTGTCATTGTTATCAGTTTACAAATCAAGTGGTTTACTGTGTATGTGTCCTTGATATTGGTTAATTACTGCTTGTTTTAGTAAGACAGATTTATTTTTTAATCAGTTTTTTCCTAGTTGCTTGATAATTTTTTAGGATGTCAGTATTTCTTTTCTTCTTGGTCTGTGATATTCTGTGAATCTTTCTATAGCATTTCAGTTCAAAAGCTGCTATTTTCTTTCTTAATGACTGCAAAATAGTCTATGGGTCATAGCTATATGTGAAGTCAGTCTTGGTATGGATTCGAGTTCCACCAGCCACTTGTTTTCAGTTGCTGATCAGTCTCATATGCCTTATTTATTCCCCAAGACATCTCATAACTTGTCTATACAGATTCTTTTGCCTTTGTGTGGTTAAGTGAACAAAATGTGAAAAACTTTTTTTTGTTTTTGTGTTTTACACCAGTGACATACAATGATGAACTCACTTTTCTTCTCATGACATTACCTAGTCTTGTTGACCTGAGAGCCAAGTTAATTTTTTTGGAGGCAAAAAAAGAATTGTGTGGATTTGACCCAAGAACTTCATGCCACCAAGTGAGGATCTAGCCATTGTGCTACCACGACCCCCCCCCCCCCCCCCCCCCCTTTCCTTATGTGGATCATGTCTTTGTCAAAATCAGTCTTTTCTTGCAGTACTTGCATATTGATCTTCTCAGCTGTCCATGGGGTTCTTAGAATCCTATGAATTACCATATTTCTTTGGTCTATATTTTCTTTCTGCTCTTATTGTTCAGTTTTAAATAATATTATATATATATATTATATTGGAACCAGGAGTTGCTCTGGTTTGGCAGCTAGATGCTCGCAGTCGTGGGTTTGGGCCTTGAATGGGTACCAGATGCCATCCTGGGAAGTAAAGGTGGCCGGCGTGATGCTGACCACATCACTCACCCAGTGCCATTTGGTCTATAAAGTATAGGTCCAGCACTCTATGCCCAGTAAGCCTAAAGGTGTGGTAAGGACCCTTTCTTCTTTACATCCTCTTTTACCGCTTCTGATGTTGAGGGGGCATATAAGGGTCCTTTACTTACTTATATTGAAACTATTTTTCTCATTCCAGATGTGGTTGCGACAGGCCTTCTGGCAAATGAACAGCCTGAAAGAAGTGAAAGGTAAAGACTTCTTTCAGCACATCAGCAAGGAATCATCTTCATGGCTGCAGACGAGGGCTCACATGAAGAAATCGGTATTGTCACAAGGAAGCCAGGATGGTGCCGACTTCTTCTCCCACATTAACAAAGACACGGCTAGCTGGCTACAGAGCCAGGTCAGTGTTTTCAGTTTTCTTCTGCAATTACCTTCATGGGGGGGGGGGGGGGGGGGGGGGGGGGGTAGCCAGGCTGAGATATTTGCGCCTTTTGGCCCGACAGATGTTACTGTGCTCAGAATTACTTGTCTTTTATGACATGCTTGTTTGAGGTTGCAATGGTTTTTTTTTTATTTTTTATTTTGTGTGGTCACAGCCTACACATTTATTTTATGTGCCATCTCCACAATTCTTGTTGGCTGTAGCGGATATGTGTATTCAGTGCTGTCGTTGGGAGTATTATTTGGTGAGGCGCCTCCCCCCATCTTATCATTGGTGTGACTGTCACACCTCTGCCCAAAAGATATAAGAGCGAGCTTTTTGTGTTTTTATTTGGAAGGATCAGTTTGGTCTTCAGTAATGTTTAAACCTCGTCCCCCTAAGAATGTAGTTTTTCTAGATTTTATAGGTTTTGATCGACATAATTTATTTGAAAAGTGCCTATTATAATAATTTCAGTTATTACGTCACATTGCTTTGTGTGACAAAGTAAACAGAACCACTATTAAATGGTAAAAGGGAAGGAAATCAGTAAATTCTTTATTCTGTTTGTGCGAGTGGCTTCAAATGAAAACCTTCACTAACCATTTCATTGTCTTATAACCTGTCAATTTAGTATTGTTGTTGAGGATGTTAAGTGTGTGATGATATCATGGTGCAGATGAACATGGTGATGTCATAATGGCAGTTTAAAGATGGCTGTCCCACTTTTGACATGCACCAAAGTGAAGTAGTGAGTGTTCTATTATCCATTTTTTTTTAGCAGTAAAGGGTTGAAACGCCACTGTGTTACCGGGGCCCTCACTGGAAGCAAAGAATAGTGACACTGCAGCTTGTCAGGCATGTCATAAGAGGTGACTAAGGGAAGGGTTGGTGCATGAAGTTAACTACCTCATCCTGTAAAAACATTAGCAATTAAAACCAACCAACCATGGATAAGTCAAAAAAGAGAAGTAAGTAAAACCCAGTCAGCCAAGATGAGGGGAGGCTCTTTAAGTAGAAGAAGTATGACACAATGTGGAGAAAGCAAAAAGGAGTCCGGATCGTTGACGTACCTCCTCTCAGCTAGGAAAACCTCCAGAATTGGCACCTGAAATGTTAGAACTCTCTATGATATAGAAAGAAAACAATGAAAGTAGTAAGGGAAATGAAAAATTATAGAATTAGTATTTTAATAAAGTTAGAAAGATGGGGAGGACATGGGGAGAGCTGCACGAGATAGCAAAGGATAGTATGACTTGGCATGAGTTGGTGCTATGCTCCATTGGGGGCTAGAAAAGCAGAAGAAGAAGAAGGGTTCAAAGCTATAGAAATTCCTCAGCAAATGGTCTGACATGATGATGCATGCCTGTCAGTCCAGCAAGTGTATGAATGGAGTAGGACGCTGGACAGTGTCCAGGTCAGGCACGCCAAGTAGTGACCTCAGAGTTGATTCCTACTCCTCATACACTTTGGTACCACTTGTTGATTTAGGGTAGTAATTGTTGAAAACACAGTCACTATGTCTCACAGAGATAGAACCCAGTCCACTGTCTTGGTAAGCAAGTACTTTTACCACTATGCCACAATCTCTGTCCTAGTATACTTTCATGGAGCATGGACAAAGCTTTTGTAATAACTTATGTGCTGTATGCAGTCATTTTATCATTTTACATTGAAATATGAGCAATAATATACAGTTAAAAGCAGTGTAGTTGTTTTGTGATTCTTTCAGAATAAATCGAAGGCAGCTGAGCAAATAGGACAGACCAGTTGTGCAGGAAGGACATGTGATGCTAAAAGTGATTGCTGTGGGAAAACATGTGCAGGCAAAGAAGAAAGATGGCTGTCTGCTGCTAGTAGAGCTAATGCCTCTGTGCTTCAGCTGAAGGATTGTTGCCGAGCAAATGAGGTTTGCAAGAATCTGTCTGAATGTGTTTCACAGCCCGACTGCCTCACGTTGTGGTTTAAGGAGAATTCTGCTGTGAAGAATCAGCCAGTTCCAATGGAAATTGTCCACTCAATGTCTTCTTCATTGAGTGAATGGTTGTCGCCAGCTGTTCAGAATCAAAAAGATAGCTTGCCACTGTTGAAAGATGCGAAGGTAACCACCGACCTGTTTCATCACATTCGGGCAGCCGGTGATCCCATGTGGTTAATGAAATCTGGCTCATCAACTGACTCCAGCACTGCTCCATCATCCCTTACCAGATTTAAGGATAACAAAGAAGAAGCCAACCTGTGGCTCCAGAAGACTGGCAGTCCCACTCCAGCAGAATCAGGTGAAGGTCAGAGTTTAGGATCTACTTCCTGTGATGCAGACTGGCTCATGGTTGCAGAAGAAGACAAGAACAAGCATCAGGAACTTGCTGAGTCAGAAGGATGGAGTGTCTGCTCAGATTCGCACAGTATCAACACAGACCAGTTCGACAAGAATCTAATGGCAGCTGATGAGTATTTCAGTAAATGGCTAATGCTACAATAAAAAAATTTTTTTAACCCAAAAAAAAAATACAAGCTGTATTGTATAAAATTATACGGTGCTTTATTAATATCTTACCCCAAACAGGGGAAATCTACAGGTCACGGGACAGTCTAATATTTCAGAGGGTGGTAGATGGGCTACATGCAGTCGTGGAACCTAGGCTGAATGCATTCCTGGGACCTAGGCTGCACTCTCGTGGGACATAGGTGGGTTGGTTCCAGTTCTAGATGTTTTGGGGTCGTTAAAAGCATCAGAAAGCCCTCTAATATGTTGGACTGTCCTGTGACATCATCTGGGGTAGGATAATAGTGACGAACCAATTATACTATTGTAACCAAGTGATTTTAGCACAGTCATACTAATATTTGTGTACACTGTCTTGTTGCTTTTATGTTAAGATATGTAGCCACCAGATTTCTCTTACACAGTCATCATATAGCAGGTACTTTGCAGAGTGAGCATCACTCTGATTACGACCTTTTAGAAATCCTCTTGACCCATTGCCAAATTCCCTACCTCGGGTATTGTCGTGTGCAACTCTCTTCACATTTGGTTTGGCTCCAGTCGCTTGCAGACTTCTCACTCGTGCACTGACAGTCAACTCAATAGGTGAAAGATGAACGACATTGAACAACACAATGCCTTCTCAGGGTCCTCTCGGCCCATTGCCAAATTCCCTACCTCAGGAATTGTTGTGCCTAAGATGTCTCGAATATCCTGTGTCAACTTTTTTGCTGATAGAACCATGCTTCCTCTTCTGGGTGCCATGCTTTCCATTACTGATCTTTCTAAGCCAATATACCAATATATATGTCCAAAATATTTCAGTTTCTAAGACATAATGCTGATTTTTGTACAGAATACAAATCTATAAAGAACATAAAAGTGAGGAGTCTTCGGTCACAGAAATAACAAATATGTTCATGAAAATAAGATATGTTGTGGGTGCCACGGTAGTGCGGAGGAAAAGAGTGATGAACTATCACTTTACAGATTTATAGTCTTTATTCGTGGGCACATTAACATCATGGAATTTTCTGTTTAGAAATCTAAATTGTTTTAGTTATCAGTTTACATCTCTTTATTGTTGGTTTATTATATGTTAGTTATTTGTTTCTTAATGTCAGACATCAGTTTCTGTGTCTGTTTTTATCTTTTAATCAATGTCTTATTTATTGACTTCCCTTTTTTTTTTAAAATATACATTGTTACATCTTTGCTTATTGATGCCCTGAACACCAGTTTCTGTATCTGTATAATCTGTTGGTTCATGTATCTTGTGTATGTGTATGATCTCCAGCAGTAAAGCGTTAGCACAGCTTCCTTCAGCCATAGAAGTTTGCAGTTTGATTCTCAAACATCAAACTGATGAAAGAGAAAGCAGTGATAAGGGGTTTAAAAACTGAAATAAATAACTTAAAGCAGGGCTTTTTAACTGCCAGGCTGTGGGCCGACTTCAGCATTCACAGGCCATTAAGTGGCCCACAGATCATGGCTAACTGTGTTATCTTAGTTAACTTTTATGCTGAGGTTCGGACCCCTTGCCCATATTGATCACCATTTTTATCATTTTGGCTCCTGGGTAAACTGACTTCAACAGCCCTGGCTGAAGGGATCAGCATGCTTCTGCTTGTCTGGGGTTTAGGGTTTTCTTGAATGCATAATTCAAAATTATTATATTTCATAATCCCAGCACACAAAGATTTTACTCAGCTGCATCCGATTTGGCAGCAGGTCACTTTGTACTGATTGCAACAGCTGTATGATCAGATATTGAGGACACGTACAGAAATTTAATTATCTAAGCATATGGATAACAGTTGGCTGAAGAAAAAACAGAATAGGACAAGCAACAAGCACATTTTATAAAATAAAGAACATTTTTTGCAATAAATCCACTTACTTGAAAGTTAAAAAAAAAAGGTTTCTTGCATGCTATATAGAGCTGGTTTGAACATATAGGCTGTGAATTCTGGGCATTTAATAAACAAGTTACCTGAGGCCTTGGAGATATGGTTTTACAGAAGAATCCTTAGAATTCTTTGGACAGCCAGAAAAAGGCAATTCAGATGTCTTGAAAGATACAAGGGCTCAAAAACAACTTATCACAAACATCAGAAAGAGACAGCCATCATTTTTGGTCATGTTATGAGAATAAGAAAAACTCAGACATGTTGTGACCACTAGAAACATCTGAATACCCTATTTAGAAGTTTGCTGGTATATTAAATTTTTATTACATGTTCATTGCCGTTTTAATTATCAGTTAAAAACTCCTGTTAATGCACAAGTGGATTACATTCTTGGTTATTGCCCGATTACTTTGGTGAATGTTTTAGTTGTGGTAAATAATTTATTTGCTTGCTAGAATTTGTGATTGATAATGAATTAAGCCTTGCACACATCCTAGATGAGTATACATTGGGATTATATATATCTTCATCTTACCTATATATCTCCCACTGAAGCGAGGACCCTCAGGCCATATTGATGCCTGCCCATCCTGTGTCATCTCCCCCATTGCCACTTTGGAATAATGAGGATTTGGTGCACACTACAAATGTTTCTAATTGTTTAGTTTTAGCTGGGCAGTATGTTGCATCATCTGTTCACTATGTTTTCCTAATAGTGGGTTTTTAACATTCACTGTGCACTTTGAAAAACAATTGGGGGGGGGGGGGGGGGGCTTTATCCATGAGTCAGCATCTATGGCTTAGGCGCTGTGAACGCACTTTGTAAAACCAGAGTGGCGATTTCGATCCCAGCTGTGGACAATTTGTCGTGCGTTGGTTTTGACAGTGGTGCCAAGAGCTGATCGTTCAGAAAGCAGTAGCAAATTACTGAATGTAAAAAATATGCCTAAAATACTACAACAGCAAAAAAAAGTGCTAGTGTTGGTGTTCTACAACGTCCTGTTAAGGATAGGCAATTTAATTTTATCCATGAAGACTAGGTATGTGATCCACTATGCTAGGATCAAAAAAGAATATATCTCTTATTTTTTTTTTATATCCATAATCAGAGTCCAAATCGGTATCATCATCTTGTATGTCCGAAGTGGATATCTCACTGTTAACTCATTTCTTTCCCATTCATTCATTGCTTCAATTTTTGTCGAAAATTTAATTTGTTGGTGATGGATATTATCAGTGCCTGTTGATTTCTTTATATAGAATGAGTTAGAAATTGTTTGAAGCAGAAGTCAGTTATGTTGAAATTGAAAGTCTCTGCGTGAGTTCAACAAAATTATTTCCCAAAAAAATAAATATTGCGAAATGTCTTTATTTTGGCTACCAAATTCAGAATAAATAAACACAAAGATTTAATCACCTTCTTGTTGTTGTAGCAATTATTGTTGTATATGCTTGTAAATGGTAAAGGGTGCTTGCCATGAGACATTGCAAAATAAAATGATAATATTCATTGCAAATTTTCAATGCACTTCAGCTGTCTGCTCAAAATACTGAACTTCTGTTTTAGTACACACAAAAAGTTATTGAGCAATTGGTGCTTCTTTATACTTTTTAAAACCAGCGTGGTGAATGTGGTTAACAATTTCATGATCCTCAAGCAATAGGGTGCGTTCCTCGTGGTGATTGTTTTCTTCTTCGCGTTCACCAGCTGTACACTCTGGCGGAAAGTTCTGGTTGCTCTTCCACTATTGAACTGCAGTCCTCCTCCTGAACCTGAGTGTTGCATGTGCATCAGTTTTACAGATCTCATTCTCTTGAATATAGACTGTTGGTTCCTTGCCTCCCCGGCAGATGCACTCCGACTTCAAAGGAAGCTCCCCAATTATGCTTTTGGGGAGGCAGTGGGTCTATTCTTGTTTTCCCCATAATGGGGCCCCGGAACCCACACACAGAGAGGGGGGGGGGGGGTAGGGGGATTGTTTTAAAAAAGAATGAATAAGTAAACAAAACTTTTCAGGACATTGGTATGAGAGTCATCAGTGGAAGAGATAGGGGCCTCACCGTGTAGTATTCTCAAAGACAATAGTGGGTGCACTATAGTTAACCTTGATTGTGGAGACAGCACTTGAAGAAATATATTTATTTTTTAAATAAAGCTTTTATTAGGTTTATCAAACTCCTTACATTAAATGACTGACTCATTGGGGAGTAGGCAGAGGGTCTGAATGGTTTCCAGCACAACAGAAAATACAGGCAGATTTTTTAATCTAATCATGTTGCGACTGGCATCAACAGTATAAGGACTTTTCATTGGCTACTGAGAGTGGTGACAGAGCATGTGTGCGAATGCCTCGAGTGCAGTGGCGACAATTTTTGATTGATTCATTTATTTTTTACAATCAAATTTGTGGCTCAGCACATAGATTGTGACCCAGCACATAGACTGTGGCTCAGCACATAGACTGTGGCTCAGCACATAGACTGTGGCTCAGCACATAGACTGTGGCTCAGCACATAGACTGTGGCCCAGCACATAGATTGTGACCCAGCACATAGACTGTGACCCAGCACATAGACTGTGGCTCAGCACATAGACTGTGGCTCAGCACATAGACTGTGGCCCAGCACATAGATTGTGGCCCAGCACATAGACTGTGGCTCAGCACATAGACTGTGGCTCAGCACATAGATTGTGGCCCAGCACATAGATTGTGACCCAGCACATAGACTGTGACCCAGCACATAGACTGTGGCTCAGCACATAGACTGTGGCTCAGCACATAGATTGTGGCCCAGCATATAGATTGTGACCCAGCACATAGACTGTGGCCCAGCACATAGATTGTGACCCAGCACATAGACTGTGGCCCAGCACATAGATTGTGGCTCAGCACATAGATTGTGGCTCAGCACATGGACTGTGGCCCAGCACATAGATTGTGACCCAGCACATAGACTGTGACCCAGCACATAGACTGTGGCTCAGCACATAGACTGTGGCTCAGCACATAGATTGTGGCCCAGCACATAGATTGTGGCTCAGCACATAGATTGTGGCTCAGCACATAGACTGTGGCTCAGCACATA